GATTAGGTTTTATGAAATCCAGTGCAGTGTTATTTAGGTGCCCAGTTTTAGATATCCATGTTTCAAATTTCAGCCAATAATTTTAGTTTTTGTGGGGATGTGCTTAAAAAAATAGTTCATGATCTAAAATAACTCATTAACCTTTATTCTGATAGAATTGTTGTGACCTGCACCGCCTGGAAATCATGCCCAGAGACCGATGCAGAAATGTTGTGTAAGAATTTGTTCCAGTCATTTCAGGACATGATACAGCTAATGGCCACAGCCCATCTCTAGAGTTGATGGTGACATTACTGTGCCTTCACATAATGTGCATTATTGTATCTGGTACTAGCTGAATGAAATGCTTATCACAAGGAGCGTTAAACTCTGTGTAAAACACTTAATGATAGTTCAGAATAATTAAGCACAACTAATGCAAAACCTATGTATATTTTAAGTGATTTACTGCAGCAGCAATGCAAGTTTCATTTTGCAGCAACAATGCAAACTATGGCAAACCATCGGAGTAGAACTATGCAATATTAAACTATGCCTCAACAATGCAAATGTATCAGACTATTGTGATTTTTGGAAAATGGAGAATTTGAGATGTCTTGTTTTTATAATCTTTGTAATGGTATCTGATAGAGTATATAATAATTTGGTGAAGCTTATTTCTGTGGTGTACTTATTTGTAGTTCTGTGCTAATATGCTATGGTGCTTTCTTGATGGACATTGGTAACAATTTTTATTCATTTTTATTTGTGAAAGAATCAAGAAGAAGAAATACTAAATAACAGGCTCTTCAAGTAATATGATTTGTATTACTAGCTATCTTCCATTTTCACCATTGGGATTATTTCTAGTGAAAGGCTTATTTGTAAATAAAGTCTAATTTCTCAGGTGAGTACTGAGGTCACTATAGTTTGGAAATACTTTTTAAAATTCAAGATGCTTCCCTTTCAAAATTAAGAGTGGAAACTAGGATGACTACTTGTAAATTTCCAAGGGATGACATGCTTGTGACTACAAATATCACAGCTACACCACAGAAATAAATTGCACTTTTAAACTGGCAGTAAGTATAGTCTGATAAAAAACTCAGGATTTTAAGCTTCCTTTGGATTTTAAATAAGACTTTTGTTAAAATTTGTCATTTCTTTTCTTAGAAATAAAACAGTCCAAAAAGCTTGTTTCATGTTGATTGATTGGTTTATAGTTATACTGCTTAATGCAGAGCAGCCAACTTTCTGAAAGGGGAGTTTCTTGTGTACGGATGATGAAACTGACATAGCAGAGATTCTAAAATCCCAACTCACTGTCCTTCTGGAGGTATTGGAGCCCTTTGAGAAGTCAGAATCATTCTTGTTTTATTGCTTGTATTACAGCAGAACAACTAGAATTCTCAACTGAGATCAAAACCTCATTATGCTAGATACCATATTATAATGGTGCAATTAGCTTCACTTTAATGTTCACTTTAATGTTTAATGATATTGAAAAACAATCTGAACCCAACAAGCTCAGGCTGTTGTAGACGTTCTGTGCTCATGCTAGGATATGGGACACCTCAGAAGGGTAAACAGTGAGAGCCATCAATGCTGAATGGCTTCTCCTTTCTGAAACAATGGGTTTCTATCATAAAGGCCGTTGACTTGGACACGCTACACAAGTTGTGGGGAGGAGTAGGAAATGAAGCTGGAAACCTCACTAGCCATTAGAAAAGGTGGCTGCTTTGCTAACAAAGGGCTATACCGTCCTCTTTGGAACCTCCCTTCAGGAAGTTGAAGGGTACTATCAGATCCTCCCCTCACTCTTCTCTTCTGCAAACTAAATAAACCCAAATCCCTCAGCCTCTCCTCATAGGTCATGTGCTCCAGCCCTCTAATCATTTTGGTTGCCCTCTGCTGGACCCTCTCCAGTGCGCCCACATCCTTTCTGTAGTGGGGGCCCAGAATTAGATGCAATACTTGAAAACAAGATCCAAAGGCAGGTAAGCAATCAAATAGAACCTAGAATTTATTTTAAAATATGTGTAAGTCAATCTCATGATATTGAGGGAACCCTGACTCATGATCGTGGGTTGATAACTGTACCTTATTGTACTATTTATGTTGTACTACATTGGCCAAATTGTACTGATGGTGCCACAAGCACTTCAGTATATCAAAAGCTATAGCAAATTTGAATGGCAACCATGCTCATTTTGGGGGAAATATGGAAAAAAGAAAGCAAAGAGTACAAGAAAAAAAATAGTCCACACTTAGACTTAAGTTTCCCAGAAATAAACTTGATAGTGCTGCCAAGACCCAGGGATTATACAGGAGACTCCTGATTTCTAGCACTTGCTCCTAAATTTCAGAGCAAATCCTGCTTGAATTTCCTGATTTAATCATCAGATCCACAATTCTGTGATTAGACTCTTGGATACAGTAGCAGAATTTGAGGATAATGTACAAGAACTTGAGCAATATCTGTTTCTGACCACCAGAGTGTAAAGTTCCTTTGGCTCCCACATATTGGTTATGTTTCTAATACAACATCTGTTGTATTAGAAGGTGCATCATACCAGTACTTTTGTCCATATTTGCATTTAAATCATATTGACTCCAGAAACGGTTACCCTTTCTACTTGGGGCTAATTCAACAGCTCCCTGATAGCAGTTGACCAGAATTTCTGAAGGCCACAAACCTCTCTCATATCAGTACTTCTGTGCCCCCTCCCCCATCTTGGTTTTGACTGTCTCATAATTTTTCTTGTATTTTATTCTCATAACACACCTGTGAGATAGGGAAGAGCAACGTTCCCTGTCAGCTGCACACAATTCTCTGTTGTTAATAAACTTTATCCCATTCCCAGGGTGTGGATGCAGGGGTGTAGACTATTGGGAGAAGGAGAAGCTGGAGATAAAATAATAGTTGTTAAATATTGAAATGAGTAATCTTGGGGGCGGAGACTAAGTCTTTGGGGGTGGGGGGACTAAGTGTATCCACTTTAAATAAAGTGAGAAAAGCTTCTGTTCAAAGCGCAGTGTTTCCTTTATTTATTAATGTAATGCTAAATTTTGGTAGACACCTGAATTTTAGCAGCCTGGAGACATGGATAGAGACTTACTGAGAATCTAGATACAGGGAAGAAGAGAGTGATAAAAAGCCGGTCCCTGCTGCTTGCTTCTCTCTGCCTTATCCTCCGCACATGCCCTTGAGGCTTGAATGGGCAGAAAGGAGAAAGCAGCAAATAGGAGGTGCTGTGACGGACCGGGCCAGGTCTGGGCACCGCTGAAGGTGTCCACTCAGCAAATTGCTCGAAACCAGGGCTGCTTACAGCCCTAGACTGGAGACCTTTCCTAAAACAGGTCATAAACCAGTAACACAGAGCACTTCAGCTGCCAAGCCAGCCAGCAAGAAAGCCTCAAGATCAAAACCCCTCATGCCCCAGCTCTCCCAGTGCCAAAATCAGCCCCAGGCCTTATACACAGGTGTGGGGTTATAGAACTGATCAGGTTCTACTGGTCTAAAAGAATCAGCCACAGATTCCCAGTCAATATACACTTTAGATCTTACCCACAAGAGCACACAGAGCCAATCCTTTAGATTCTGAAAGTTTATTAACAAAAGAAAGAAAAGGTAGAGAGTAAGGTTAAGGAGAATCCATTACATGTACCAATCACCAAGTTCTTGCTGCAGGCTCTTAGCAGAGATGTTGCAAACTGCTAGCTTAAAAGGCTCTGGTGTACATCCTATGTCAGGATGGGTCAGCAATCTTTCCCGACTCGCTGTCCCTCGTAAGGCAGCATCTGGGATCAGTAGCAAGATTAAAGACAAAATGGAGTCCACCTCATGGCACTTTTATATCCATTCCTGGTGTCTCCCAAGCTGGAGTGGGTCACATGGTCGTGACCTGTCTGTGTTTCACATGCTGGCAGCCATTATGCCCTGATTGGTGGCAGGTTTCCAGAAGCATTCCTCAGGCGTGTATTGGCCACCTTTAGAGCCATTATCCTTGGAGCTGTGCTAATTAGCATAGTCATTGACTGGACAATCCTTTACAACAGGCAGTCCAGGCCCATAGCTCTGTCTCAAGCTGACTGACGCCTCTCAAGCAGAGAACATTCACAATACCAGCACAGAGTCCATATTTATAACTCCATATACAGACATCATACAAGTACAGGAGTAGCATACATAGAATCAGTAGAATATAAGCTTTCATTTGACACCTCACATGCCCCCTTTGTATAGACCTTGGGGCAAACACCCCCTACCCCATCATGGGCGTAGCAGTGATCTGGCTGCTCCCCTTAAAATACAATAAAGTGACAGGTGCTCAGGAGAAGGGGCCTCAGAGGAAGTCCAGGCAGGAGCAAGCAGTGATTGGGGGGAAGAGATAGGGGAAAGACTCTTATGACAGGAGGCAAGAGAGACGTGAGCAGCGGGCATGGGGGCTCTCAGAGGAGGGGGTGGCGAGGAGCAAGTGTCAGGCACAGCAGGGACAAGAAAAGATAGAGTGGGGGTCAGGGCCTTTGGGGCTGAGTGGGGACGGAGAACCAGTCAGGGAAATAACAGAAATCAGTACCTATGTCCTGAACTGTACAAGTGAGCAGCGCTGGCCCAAGGGTTTTTGGTGCGCTACAAAAACTATGACTTTGGTACCCTTTCCCCCCATTCAACAGAGAGAACTATGAGAAGCCTAGAATGAATGTTAACCTTTATTTACTTGGCATTCAAAATGAACACGAAAATAAAATATTGATTTTTTTCTACTATTCATTAACCCTAACACAGATAATTAAGTGTGATAAGTGAAAGTACACAGTGCACCTGGGAAAAGAAAATACAGAGGAAAATTGTACAGAGAGCCAGCCCCAAGCAAAACTGTTTTGCCACCCAGTTAACACTTTTATACTTATTCCCCCCAAACCTTTTAACTGGCTTCTCACTCTGCCCACTACAAACAAACATAACCACTTATCCCTATATCTTGGAGGGAATTTCCTTCTGCTGCTGGCAGTCCTCCTTCTCCAAAAGGATCTTGGTTTCTTCCACTTTGGGGAAGGTGACTTTGAGCTGGTTCTTCAGGCAGAATGCAATGGTGACAGTATCGCCAACTCCAAACATTCAGAAATCGTAAGTAAGGCACACCAGAAAAACCCTGATTGGCTTACACATAATGAGATTTTACAAAAATAATAAATGTTGGTTTTTATAAATTCCCATTCAGGGATCTTTTTTTTCAGGGTTTACTTTGCAACTGGGAGAGCAAGAAGCTTAATTAAAAATAAAACCTGAAATAATTATGTGACTCCGGGAGCTGGAACGTCAAGAAAAAAATCCAAATTTCACAACATTCATGCTAAAATGGCACGTGCAAGAAATTCTGTGATCAAGGGTCAGCTTTTTCTACTCTCAGGCAGAACAAACTGAATCCCAGTCAACCAAAACTATGCAGTAGCCTCAAATAGGGATAGGAAGAAGGTTAGAGGTTTAGGTTTGAGTTAGGACCCAAGGGACACAAGAACAGCTGTAACAGAGAAGATGTTTATTTTTCACACACACTCTCCTTAAACTTGCCCCTCTAGGTAGAGGCATGATCTGTATAAAAGCTAGGACTGGCTCTGACAGTACACAAAGAGGCTCGTCATGTGAGCTCAATTCTATTTCCATCCACATGACACTGACACATTGCAACAAACAAATAGTCTGCTCCCTGGGAATACTACATTCATAGTGTAAAAGGAGCTATTTTTTTTTACATTTCCAGAGCCAGTCTTTCAATAATGTACCTTTATGCCTCTCATCTTTTCCTCAGTATCATACAACTACCAAAGAAATCATAAAATAGACATGCCTAGGCAGTTCGCCTTGTTTTCTCCCTAGGCAAGAATGAATTCTTCCTTTCAAAGCATAAAAGTTGAAGTATATGTGATAAAGACACATACACTTCACTGACTCATTGTGACTGAGTCATTGTGACTTGACTGTATGTTGGTATTGTTAAACTAGAGTGTTATAAAAATGTGTTGAGTATTTAGACCTTTAAGAATGCTTGTAGGATGCTGCATGTATGATTCTTACTGTTACTAGCCAATTAGCCCGTCATAAGATGGGATTTTCAGGTCTCTCCTCCACGTCGGTCTTCTCTCCTGAGCCTCCGGCCTCTCGCTCGCTCTCGCTCGCTCTCTTCTCCT